TGGGGTGGCCATCTTGGATTTTGACATGGCAACCCAAGTTTTTTGATAGTGACCTTACCTAAATACAGCCACACCAAAATGGACCTCACTTATTTTTCTAGTTATCATACAACAGCGACGGGGGGTTTCATCCACTCGGCTGCAAGTCTGACAGTAAATTATTAACCATTATTTACTCTTCCTAATCTTTGCTCAAGTTTAATAAAAATCATCTGTGTGATTGTGAGTTGTAGATTTAATCAGATTCTACTTTCAGGTCGTCTTTAAGCCATCAGGGCAGAACTCTGCGTTGACGTCAGAGTTGTGCAGAACCGGTTTCTAATCCACAACAGACGTCCTGCTCAACACTTCGGCAGAGAGAGAGCAACTGCTGCCGGATTTTTCCTCAAACCAGCCGTCCAACGCCCGCTTTGCATCAAAGCAGCCAATGGGCGGCCCGTTAACGGCCACCGTGAGTAGATCATTCATCTGCTCCAGCGTTAGTCGGGAACGGTTGTTCTTACACATCTTCTGCAGAGATCCTCGGCCTTTGTCACAGCAGGCCGTGGAGCTGGGCAGGACCCTGATGAACTGCACGGCCCTGTTCAGAAGTGGAAACCGCTGCTTGTACTTGCAGATGTGACCAATGAGCTCCTTCAAACCATTCATGCTGTAGTAGTCCGCCTTCAGATTCTTCCACTCCACCAGCAAGCTGCTCTGTGCCTCTGGCAGGTCCTCCTGACCAGCAGAAGGAACGGACTCCAGGTGGCTGGAAATGATCTGGATCTCCTCCTCACCGTAGGCTTGCAGGTCTTCGTGGCTGTCAGGCCAGCTGGACAGGTCCAGTACCTTGCAGGCTTTGGAAAAGGAGCGGCTCTGCAGGTCTAGCCTCTGAGACAGGATCCCCTTGCTCCTGTTGCAGATCTTTTCTCGGATGGACTGAAACTTGGACTCTGCAACTCTTAGATTCTTCAACTCCACACCGTTGAAACTTTCTTTGAAGTTTTCTTCAAACTCCTGCAGATATTCACCGGGGCAGTCCACCAGCTGGTTGATCTCCTGAATTGCCGCCTCGATCTTGGCTTCCACCTGCGACACCAGAAGGTGCTCCCCTTGAAAAGTCAGGGCTAATCGGGACAGAACAGCTATGATGTCCAGGAGGAAGTAGATGAGTTTGACAGACTGGTAGTCCAGGAGAAACTGGAGGAGCGTGAGAGCGATGGCTGCAGCGTCAGCCCTCTGAGTTTGGCAGCTGATCTCCTTCAGGTGGGCCACGACCTCGAGGTAGTCTTTGATGAGTGCGCTGAGGACATTTGGCTCTCCTATAATCCAGCGTACGGCTCTGATGTCTCCCAGGAACTCTGTCTCCTCTGACAGTGTTGGTGCAGTTGATCGCAGCTCGGCCATCATTCGAGGAGAGTAGCGATAAAAACTGAGCAGCTGCTTGAGGTTGTTCTCCAGGTCCTCAAGGCAGCAGAGCTCCTTCCCACTGATGGCATCCAGAACCTCCAGATGAGGGCGGTGGATCATGATGGGAAGGCAGAGGATCCATGGAAAGGTCTTCTGCAGAGCTACATACAGGTTACCTCTTATTCCTGAAGAGATGTTGATGCCGTCCACTCCAAGACCCACTACCAGTGAGTCCTGGAACCTGAGGCCCAGGAGACTGAAGGCTTGATCCATAACCTGGAGATACCCATCCACACTGTCCATGCTCAGTCTCTGCAGGGACAGGAACTCTGTGTTGGGGAGTCCTTCATTAGTTATGAACTGGACATAAAACGCCACTAAGTCTGAGAAAAAGTCGTCACTTTGGACGTCCATTATGATGCTCAGAAAGGGAGACAGACGCATCTTCTCAGTCAGATCTTCCTTCAAAGCTCGGGCGATGTGATGGATGAGGATCTGACAGTCGCCTTCATTCATGTACTGATCCACCACTTTGAGCTCGCACTTCTTCAGCAGCTCTGCCAGTGGACGCAGGTCGGAGAAGGCCCGTCCCTCCAGGGCCAGGTGGTACGCTGCGTTGAACAGCAGCGTCATGTTCCTGCACATCTCCTCGGTCTTCTCCGGGTGCATTCGCAGCTTGTAGAGCTGCAGACACTTCTTGTGCAGGTTGCTCTGGCTGTGAAGCTTGATGGTGTGGATCTTGAACTGTTTGGAGCCGATGATGAAGGCTGACGTTCGAGACGACTGGACGGTGTATTGTCGGCAGACGTGGCACCACATCTCATTCAGGGTCGGCGAGTATCGAAGGAACCAGAACTTCTTTAGCCACTCCTGCTTGAAGCGCCGAATGCGTCTGCTTCCTCCGGGGTAAAGCTTCGAAGAGTCTTCTGGAGAAATCATGAGGTCGGCTGTGATCGATTCATCGGCTGAATCCACATCAGGGTCATCTTCATCCAGAACCACCTGAGGTGGTGTCATGGGCTCCATCCCTAAAAAAAACAAACCCAATCAACATTTTTCTAACAAAACACAAAGATTTTAATTAGATCAGAGATTTGTTGCACAAGAAAATTTGAGCTAAATATGATTTTGGAAGCTACCTTGAAAATCATCAACGGGGCCCTGCTCAGGATGTGGAGGAGCCTGATCAGGCTGGGTCTGCTCAGAGGTCAAGGTACTGATCGCGCCCCGCTGTTCTCCTCTGAGACGCAGGAGCTCCTCTTCCAGCTCCAGAATCCTCCTCTTCAGTTTGACACAGTTGGGGCAGAAGGAGGTGGAGGGTTCTGTGCTGATCTGGGTCTTCTCCTCCTTCACCTTCAGCTGAAGGCCAGGTTTATTCTCACCAAGAAGAGAAGACCGGGACAGACTGCAGTCCTCCAGAGAGGCTTCCAGAACATCTTTGAAGATGAGGTCAATCTTCTTCTTCTTGGCCGGCGGCTGGCTGTCTGACCCTTCACAGGGTCCTTTTCCAGGACTGAGTATGTTCTGCAAAGCTGAAGGTAGACAGGGAGAGTTAAAGCTAAAGACTTTACAGCTAAAGACTCAAAAAGACTAAATTAGGTCTGATTCTCTAACCCAGTCGTTCCCAACCATGGTCCCTGAGGAACACCATCCTGCATGCTTTAGTTGTTTCCCTGCTTTGACACACCTGATTTGAATGAATGGGTGATTAACAGACTTCTACAGAACTTGAAGTAATTCAATCCATGAAGCAGGTGATGGAGCAAGGAAACATCTAAAACCTGCAAGATGTTGTGCCTCGAGGACCAGGGTTGTGAACCACTGCGAGTCTAACCATTCATCAGTTAACTAAACAAACCAACCATCTAACTCCAAAATATTTATTTATATTTGTTTGTTCTCCACTAATTCACAGAATCAGAGATGTTTGTTAGAAGTCGTCCCTTCTGGCTCTTCGTTCGCTCGTCCTGACTGTAAACCTTGTGTTTAATGAACCACCTGTCCGTTTCACCTGAGTCCAGGTTGCGGTCGATGCTGTCCTGAGACACACTCTGAAGTCGTCGGATGTAGTCGTCGCTGTACCAAACCCTCAGCCTCTCCCCGACCTCCAGCCTCCTGCGGACTCTGAAGTAGATGTTTCCACCATGTTGGAACGCCGTCAGGTTCCTGTCTCTGTCCTCTGACGAGGTCCGGACAAACCTGAGAGTCAAGAACACTCGAGTCACACTCAAGGCTCACCAGAACAAGTGTGCACTGACCAAAACTAAGACACTTTGTGACTAAACTGCAAGACAATGTTCATTCACAGGAATGTTCTACGAATGTCACCATCTATTCCCTAAATTCCAAGTGAACATTCCTGTATTTTCTGACTAGCGTTTTGTCTTCAGCAGCTGTAGTCTGATGAGAGACGTGAGAAATGATCTTCAGGAAGAAGCTTCACCTCATCCAGTTGGCTTTGGTCTCATCGCCGCCGTCGACAGACTCGTACGTGTCATTCAAACCAACAATCTGGAACATCGAACAGCAAAAACAAACCCTTCAGAGGACGCCCTGTAGGAACCGGGTCCACGAGTCAGACTGGTTGAACTTACGATCCAGGAGAAGCCGGACGATTCGTCTTTGGATACCAGCTCGCCTTCATAAGGACCAAAAACCGCCCCCTTAGGGAAGACTTCATCTGCACAACGGACATCTACCTCCTCTGCCTCAGTGAGGAGCTCCAGGCCTGATGGGACGGTGAGTGCTGCCCTGTTGGCCGATCCGGGGGCCACAGGTGTGTCAGGGACGATCAGTGGGGGCCCGTGGGATGGACACTCCTCCTGGAAATAGTCCTGACACTCTTCACAGACTGGAGACAAACAAACAAACATATGAACCGTTTAGCTGACTCTCCGAGTTCAGGTTCAAAAACCTCCTTCAGAGTAAAAGTTCTCAGCTGAAACTCACACCACAGGTCTGACGGGCCCTCGCTCATGGTGGAACCATGTCTGCAGAACCCCAGGAGGCATTCCTCATCACGAACGTCTGTGGAACAAACAGAACCCGTTACGGCCGCTCCATGAAACACTCGCTGTCAGACGGTTGGAACCGCAGCTTCGAACACTTCTTCAGACCTCAGGAAACCAGAGCTGGAGCTTCAAAATAAAACAAGCTTTCTTCAAACGCGTTTAATTAACCTAAAATTATTTTATCTCGAAAAGAATCAAGACATTGCTCAACATGAACAGGACACACACGTTAGAGATGACTCCCAGCTACTGCCAGCTCAAATTTCATCTGAGTGAAAAACAAAGTAACTGTCAGGTTGGCTGTGGCAGCCATCTTAAATCAGGTTGACTCCAAACATTATTCAATAACAGATGTGCAGCTACTGATTTCATGGGTGTTTATTCTACTTTGTTGAATGGCAAACAAGATATTTTGCTAAAATAAAGGTAGCAAAGGGCTAGTAAAAAAGCTAATTGAAACCACTATCTAAAAGTAGCAAAAGGCTGGCTAAAAGCTAATTGAAACACTAACTAAAAGTAGCAAAGAGCTAGCTAGACGCTATAAGAAAACACTATCTAGAAGTAGCAAAATGCTAGCTAAAAGCTAATTGAAACAATAACTAAAAGCAGCAAGTCTAGCCAAAAGCTAGAAACCACCAGCTAAAAGTAGCAAAGGGCTAGCTAGATGCTATAAGAAAACACCATCTAGAAGTAGCAAAATGCTAGCTAAAAGCTAAGTAGTATTTTGCTAACAAACAGGTATTTACAGGCTCGTCCATCTTCCCTTCATAAATTAAGAAAACACAGATTTGACCTGTTTCTCACACAAATCAAAGATGTATTTTATTTTTAAGTTTTTGAAGAGAAACTTTTATTTATAAATATTCAACATGAATTTAGAAATTATTAATTTGTTGTACTGGAACAGAAACCTTTGTGGGTCGGGCCCGGTGTTTCAGAACCAAGTAAACAAACAATAACAACAATAAACACTAATGACACCAGGGTTTATTTTAGATTATTAATAAAAACTGAGGCTCATTCTGAGAATATTTCATGTTTGTGCAGATCCGAACCTCTTTGGGTTCCAGACAGAACCGGAACCAAATGGCTTATAATAACTCCTCGTCATCTAGACCAGAATCCACTTCATCCGAGAACTGAACTCAGATCTGCTCGCTCCACTCAGGAGCCCGGTTCGGTGGTTCTGGTGGCCACCGACAGACTGATCCACCGCGCACAGGGACGCAGCGGGGGACACGGACCGTGTCTTCCGGGTCGGTTCTGTTGCCTTCCCCTCTTCTCTGGCTACCGGTTTCGAGGCTGCAAAGTTTGGCGTCAAAATTTGGTTCCCACTCGGTCGCCCCTTCGAGCTGTGGCCACCATGTTTTTATCACAGGAAGTGACGTAGATCGGCGGAGGAAGTAGCTGTGCCAAGATTAAAGTCACCCGACTGGGTTGAGTAGGACCTCGCTGCAGCAAACAGAAAGGTACTTGACTGGGTTCGGTTCGGTCCGAGAGGCTGCTGCAGGTTCCGACCCAGTTGGAAACAGAGACTCAGCTGGACTTTAAAGAACCACGTTCAGAAGGATTCGGCAGAACTACAGTAGACCAGGTCCAGTTCAGTCTCACCTGAACCAGGTCCGGTCCAAAAACCAGTCACATTTGGACCAGGTCCAGTCCTAAAACCAGTCTCATCTGGACCAGACCCGGTTCTGCCACCTGACAGACTGTATAGTTGGTTCCATTTTTGTAAGGATGATCCAGTTCAGGTTGGACCCGTCCCTGTATCCTGATTTTAGAACTGATTTATGATGCAGAACCAGGGTCTAGTCCTCATTTCCCTTCCAAAGATCTGGACTGTTGAAATGGTTCCGATCCAGTTCTGCAGACTCCCTGCAGCTCCTTCAGTTTTTGGACTTTGTCTCAGCTTCGGTCCAAACCCGACCCAGCTTGGTTCTTCTTTAAAAACTTCATGAATCTGAACGAGTCAACCTGAAAGAACTTCTGCAGCAGATAAACAGAACTTGACATGAACAAAGACAAGAACCAGAACCAGAGATCCACCAGACCTCAGATCTTTAATGGCTTATTTTGATTTTCTAAAAAAATGTAAATATTTACAAGAACCGTGGCTTCTCTTCAGGTTCTGCTGCTTCTTTACGAACCGGTCCAAAAGTTATCAGAAACATTTGAGATTTTCCGCTTTAACAAATAGAACTTCAAACAACTGAACTTCAAAAACAAACAAACAGCAGCATCAACAGACTGCTCCAAAGAGACAAAGTTCGGTTCTGAACAAACCAAGTTGTTTGGATCAGACAGTTAACATCAGCTGAGGCTCAACGGTTTCCATGGAAACAGTTTGTTTTCAAAACGTTCACTCATTTCAGACAGAACCGACCCGTTCTGTCTGACCCAATCAGAAGTTTACACCTGAAAATCAACAAGACTAGCTAGAAGCTAAAAGACAAATAATAGTTAAAAGTAGCAAAAGGCTAGCTGGAAGCTAATCAGGACCTGTCCAGGTTTCCCTGCGATGAATTCGGGACCTGCCCAGGTATCCTTGCGATGGACTCAGGACCTGTCCAGGTGCTCCAGGTGTCCTTGCAATGGACTCAGATCCTGCCCAGGTGTCTCTGTGATGGACTCAGGACCTGCCCAGGTGTCTCTGTGATGGACTCGGGACCTGTCCAGATGTCTCTGTGATGGA